GTCCCTTCCGACCCTTAATCTATGAATCTATGAAAAACCGGGACTGGAAGCCCTGTCAGCTGCAGGGTCTCTCACTCCCAGCTATGCATGGGGGACGGAGATCCCACATCGGCTGGGGGTTTCATGCACCCCCGAGATGAGGTGATCATGGCAGCCACAATCCCCAGGACTTGGGCATTTCACGCTGGGTAAGGTGAACCCCTGCAGCTGGAAGCCCTGCCAGCTGACAAGGCTCCCAGCTGCATGGAAGACCCTGCTACATATACAAATTAAAACCCGATAACATCCATCTCTAAAATTAGTACACATTTTCAAGGTCTAACTTTATCTCTACTTGGAGCTTTTTATTGTGTGACAGCTATTTTGTACAAGTACCTCCAAGTTCCTGTCTTTTCCAGATAATCTTTTGTCTGATACCACATCCATCCTCTTCTCTCATGCTCCCTCCCTGGATCACACTGTGGTGGGGGTCCTAGGCTTCTCTCTTGCTCCTGTTGCTTCCAGCTCATCCCTTATCCCTCTTCCCACTCTCTTCTCTTTTGATCAACAATGCATCAGATTTTTTTCTGCCATGTTGCTGTCATTTATCTTACCCTCCAACTGCTTTCCATTAACCTTACTTTTTAGATATTGACTTCTGGCTCTCTCATCCTCCCTATTCCTTGTATACAGATATCCATCTTGTTTCCTGAACTATATAAAGCTATCTGAAGGAAAGAGGCAGATCAACCCAACTGCTAGAGAGGGTTTGGGAGGAGGCAGGAAAGGCTGCAAAAGGAACACAGTGAGAACAAGGAGCAACAGAAATGGTGGGGAAAGAGTGAATCCTCAGGCAGTTCTGCTTTCTTAACTATGTTCTTTTTTTTAAAATCAACAAATGCCTCTTTAACTATCTTGATGGCCCTTTAACTCACTCCTCCCTCCACTGTAATCATGACTGCCTATAAAACACATACAAACAAAAATTGGTCCTGTTTTATCTGGGGGAAAAAAAAAGGGCAGAGTTAAATCAAAGATGAATTTGGTCCATTACATGTCTATAAGCATTAGCAAGGGTAGTTACTTTAAAAAGTGAACAGACACAACATGACAAATACAAAATGTGGACTTACCTTCCTTGTGAGTTTGTAACACCCAATGAGTTTTTATGAGCAGGAGACAACGTCTGAATTTTGCTTCCAGTGGACCCAGGTGAAGATAATCCTTTACTTGTAGGTGTAGCTTATAATTAAAAGCAAAACTATTAAATTTTGCTAGCATTTATAACAATAGTGCACTTTAATATTAATAAATTCAATCCTCTGTAAAACCATTACCTGACTATGACATATTAGCAAAAATAATCTTTGTGGTGGAGGCAGGAAGAACCAAAGCCTAGTGACATAAGTTCTATTCTAAAACAAGAGATGTGTGTTGGCACTTTCTGCCGTTGGGGGCAAAAATGCTATAAAGCACAAGCCTGCATAACTGCAATAAAGTAGGGGTGCACTGATATGCTGGTTGGCTATCGCATCAGCACTGATAAAAAGAAAAAAAGAGATATTATTGGCTATTGGCTTTTTTTGGTCATTATAGCTGATAATTACGACCATGTGCATGGAGCAGTCTGGCAAGCATAGCCTGGTCCCCACACCCTGCTGCCATCCAGAGCCCACGGCAGACTAAAGGTCCTGGTGAGCAGCAGGAGAGGAAGGGAGCACCAGGGAGTGGGCACAGGGCACCGCATTCAGCAGCAAAGGGATCATTACCAGCTCCTGCTGCTGCTGTTGCCAGTGCCATGGCAACACTGTGCATGCAGTAGAGGCCCGAGCACCATGGCTGCCACAGAGATATTGCGCTGCATGCAGATGGGGTAAGGTGCCACGTGAAGGACATTCTGCTGTGCTGGGCACCTTTGCAAAAGCAGCTGTTTCACAGCAGCTGTGGGAGCCTGGCTACACAAGGCCTGTTGGAACTGAGGTAACAGCATACTCTGGGGCTCCAAATGCACCCAGCGCTGCTGGCTGTACGAGGGTCCACCCTGCCCATTTGGGATGGCAGCACAGGCTGCACGGGGAGCAGGGCTGTGGTTAGAAGCTGTGGACCAGGGGGCTACGTGCATGAGAATAAGGCAGTCACCACCGTCCTCATCAAGGGCCAGAGCAGGCAGGAGGCACGTGTGCAATAAATGCAAAACAAACAAAAATAAGATCTATAGCAGTAGTTTAAAATGACTTGCACTATTACTAAATATTGGTTATCGGCTCACCATCAATTGATACGGTTGTTTAGTCATTGGCTATCAGTGTTAGCTGAGAACATTTTTTTTAAAAAGTGCACCCCTACAATAAAGCATTTAATGGAGATATATGAAATCAGAATAGAACCCAATGTTGACACAATTTGTTTTATATTATATTTTTAACTGCTTGTCAATATATGAACATTTATTTTTAAAAATAAACAAGCAAAGAAATAATCTGGGCACTATTGTACTACCCAGCTCATAGAAGAACCAATGCAGATAGATGCCAACCATAAAAAGATGCTTAATTACAAGTGCTTAAGAGTTTGGGCCCAAATGTTGCAAGACCCCTACCTTTTGTTTTGTAAGTACCAATGCAACAAACATATGTACTTAGTAAAAAAAAAATATATATATATGTAACCAAAGGCATTAGATTAGAAAAAACAAACAAACAATACATTTTCTCAAATAGCCCCACCCCCCACCCAATAAAAGGTGCACCTTGTTTGTGGAAGGCAAATGTGGGAAGAAAGATTTTTTTATAAGTCATGGCTGACTTTGTAACAGAGTTAAATCCTCCTGGAAAAAAGTGTTCAGGAAGTGTGGCATCCCAGAATATAGTTTAGGTGAGGCAGTAGGAACTTTTTGGTATGGCAGGACATCAATAAGACTAGGAACAAGACCCTTTTAAGGGGACTAGCAAGACTTTTACTTCTTTACAGTAAATAATAAACTGTTGTTTCCATATCGCAAGCTTCATCAACACATTACAGACAGCATGCAGCAGCTCACTCACCCTCAGCCAGCTCACTGGCTCTTCAGCCAATGTGAAAGGATTAAACAGTGGACTCCACCCATGCAGTTTGTGAATCAAGGGAGAAATGGCAGCCATGCTGGCATTCATGAGACGGTTCTCTATTCCATATTGCTTCTATTTCAATGAAGAAAATACAGCTTTCCCACCTAAGACATGCACTTCAGGTTTGGAGGGCTGATTTTTAGGGAAAGGTGCATGTAGTAGGCAACCACTGATCCTTCTGGATCATGGTGCATGCATGAAAGAAAGGTGCATATGGTATGTGATACTGGAAGCTGTGAGCCAGTAAAAGCCACAGCTAGTTAACTCACTTGTGAGACACTGTGCATTTCTAAGATAAAGCTTTTATTTCACAAATTTATTCCAGTGTGACACTGTGTACAGTTTGCTATGCTATTACACTATTTTACAGTTTGAAATCAATTATTTAGAGAGTCAATGCATAATTCATAACATAACTCCATACCTGCAATAGTTTTGCTAACACTACTTGGTTGTGGTAAGCGTGATGATACTGATGGTGCGGATGTTACAGAAGTTGCTTTTTTAACTGCTGCAGGTTTGTACTGTAATAATGAATATAAAAAAATAATTTAAATTTAAAATTGTATGACTTCCTTAAAGAGATAAACAAAGTAAGATGGTTAATGCGTCTTTCCATGCCATCTCCCAAGACCATCAATCAGCAGTTCCATTTGCTTTTCGTCAAATATCACAAATTATTCCCTCTACTTTGAAAGGCATTTCCTGTACATGTAATTGGGAATGCTAGACAAAGGTAAAAAATCCTGATGAGCAGAAACATTTCAACTGCATCCCAGTATATCTTCCCACCTAACTAAAATCTACCATTATTGCTCTCTCTTACTGGTCTTCTCTTGAGTTTAATGTTACTTCTCCATCACTGAAATTTTCCTCTCACAGAAGTAGCATTCTTTCTTCATTTCAAACCCCATTCACACAGCAGCACCTTCAGCCAATTTAAGTAGAGACTCCATGATTAATCACCTTCATGATGTCAACTCTTTTTGTTTGTGCCCATTTTGCCATAAGTTAAAATGTTTTAGCTACTATAGTAAAAGTACTACAAAAAGAAAAGAGCACAGAATTGATGTGCTCTCTCACACATTGCTTTCTGTGCTATATCTTGCATAATTTTTTCTCCTCCAGCTTAGTTCTAGAAATCTGTCAACCATCATCGCTGCATCGTTGGGTATCCAAGTTACTTCCCTTCCTGAACTTTTATTATAACTGTTCCATCTCAGTTTAACTATGAGAACATACACCTCACATCTACTTCTGTATTTTGCATGTGAAAAAACAGAGGTTCCCGATTCTCATCATCTGAGGTATTCACAACTATCAAGCTGTGGTAATAACACTTGCTCCTCAATCACTTCAAGATCCAGATCAAAATTCTGTTCAAAGTCCAGTTCAAAATAAAATTGTGTTTGTTGTTGCTAAGAAGTTCTGTAAAATTATTTTAACTTACTTTACCAATAGTTTCCCTGTATGCACCCTGATGTTGTCTTCCACTTAGCATTACCTTTGCTGTCATTTCCCATAGTCTTACTTCAGTTTATAAGAGGGCTTTCTTCTCTGCTACTGAAACTATCTTCCTGCACCTTTATCATTCAGCTCTCAGCTGAATACACATACTCCTTCCTTACCTCTTGCTCTCAATTTCCACCCTCCCCCTTTTATTTTTCAGTTGTATTAACTAACTCACTGAAGCATTTTACAATGCTACTAAAATAACTAACTGATTTGCCTTTATCACAGAGGTATAATTCAAAGGAAGGAAAATATTGAAATTCACCTGTGTTCGAGTAGGCAGTTTCCCTTTTGCATCAACAGACACTTTTCCTTTATTTGTAATACGTGCTGCTTGTTCCTTGCAGAAACTGATGTGTCTGTCAGCTGCATTTTCATTAAATCTTCTCTGGCAATATGGGCATTGAATGTAATCTTAAAGAGTTAAAAAACGGAGCATTAAACAAGTGGAGATGACAATGACTGATTTTACGAAACTATATAAAACAGACATGCTAGAGGAAATTAAGGTCCTCAAAGATAACAATAGAAATATAGATTTGAGGTAAATCCTAACAGCCAAAGGTCTGGCAATCTAAAGAAAAGACAAGCTTCTCATCCAATCCATAATGTCCAAAAGGAAGGTTGGGAGTGGGAAGCAGTGCAAGTCAGGCTGCAACAAAACAATGCTGAGAGGCCAGGCAGGAGGAAAGGTGGCCAAAATGTCTGAGAAAGAGTAGAGCGAAGAGCTGAACTACTACAGAGACAATGAGACCAGAAAGGACTGAACAGAGCAGTAGAACTCTGTTCAATTGCATTTTCAAAACACCCTGTATTACTGCGAGTATATAAGATATACAAACTAAATTTTCACTGATGGTTTTCAGACTAATACTGACTATCAACTGTTCTTATTGAAGGCAATGAAAAAAGTTTTGCCTATGTAACAAGTAAAATGGAGTATCTAGTCAGACAAGACATTTTAACTAATGTAATCAGTATTATCCTGGTGTAAAAGAAGAAAAGAAAAAAGCAGTCAAAGATGCAAGCCTCTAAAATTGAAGTAACTTTACCCAATGCTATGCAGAATTACCCCTGAAAGAATGAGGGGTCAGACTCTGCTAGTCTAAATTATATTGATTCAAGTCTTATCTATCCACTTCCATCCTGGGGTAGCTCATCTCTCAATGCAAACAACGTACTACCCTCAGGGGTAGGCAACCCCAGGCACACATACCACAGTGTGGCATAGAAAGACACTGTTTGGCATGCACACCTCGGGGCAGATGGCAGGGGAGCCACAAGAGGCCTGATCCTTGTTGTGGCAGTGCAGCCCCCACCCCTTCCCTACCATCTGCCTCAAGGCACACGTACACCCACCACTGGTTTTGAGCTAGGCCAGGGCTCTGCGGATCCTGGTACAGCTGCTTGCAGCCTCCCCACCACCTGTGAGCGGCACGGTGGGCATCAGGGGCCCACCTAGAGCTTGGGCTGGCTGGCAGGTAGCCGGGAGACTACAAGTAGCAGCAGCAGAGTTCGTGGAGCCCCAAACCAGATCATTGCTGCTAGTGGGTCCACAGGTGCCTTGGAGCAGACAGCAGAGAAGAGGCCAGGGCTGCAATGCCACAAGGATCAGGTTACTCATGGCTCCTCCACTACCCAACCTTGACACACCAGCATCTTACAAGTCGAGGCTGCAAGTGTTTTTGGAACTCTGCCCAAAATGTTGCCAACACCTGTACTACTCATTTTCCAGTCACCTAGCGGCAACATGCAGTAATAACTACATGTTTATCTGTTCTTGATTCCTGTATAATTTATATAGATATAAATCCCAACGTAAATCACATTGTGATAGGTGAACATCTGTCCACACCTGAATCCAGGGAAAAAAAAGAAGCCCAAGTGCTATATAGGCATCTTTAAAGAATGCAATGAGACAATTTGTACCCCACATTGTTTTCATAACAATCTTAACCAAATGGGAGTGCAGTCCCTCCTATTATTCAAGACACGGAAATATTCTTCTCATCGTCCAGTGGCACTGCAGTAGCTGAATGCAGGTTTTTCTCTATTAACTTAATCAAAAAGTGCCAGTATGTTTCTATGAAGCAAAGTACACTCCAGACTTGACAGACTCAAGTGGCTCAAAAATGCTTTCCAGTCCCATTAGGCTAATTCACAATGGCATGGAGAATGGACAAACAACAGAATACACCTCCTAAGAAAGTGAAAATGAGTGCTCAACAGTAAGCATGGATACCAACCAGTGCTATTTTATATAATCAAAAAATTTAGGGGAAACAAAACACACGTTATCCAGAATATTCTTTTTTTTTTTTACCTTGAAATTGAGGCAATAATTTAAAACAGATCAGACTGAAGTTAAGAACTCTAAGCCAGGGGTTTTCAACTGTGGGTATGCGTACCACTGTGGGTACTTGGGATGGCCTCAGGAGGTAGGCAACAGCAGGGTGCTGTCACCAGCATGTCCGCCACTGCCATGCTTGCTGATCAGCCACAGGTTGCCAATCAGCCACTGAGGGGATATCCCCCTCCCCATCAAGTGGCTGCTGGGGGACCCCACTCATCTGGCCGCCGAGGGACTCCTGCATTCTCAACTGGCCACTGGGGGTACACTGAGCCATAAGGGTTGAAAACTCCTGCTTTAGGCAATCATGACTTTAATCTGAGAATAAGACAGCCCAGATATTGGGCCAACTATTTTGAGGTTTTAGTTTGCTTGGGTTTTTTTGGCTAGAAAAAAAAAAACCCCAACAAAATCAGAACTCTTCACCTGACTGTTAACAGCTATCAAGGAAAGCATGCCTGATAGTCTGATTTATTAAATGCTCGTTATAAGTACTTTTCTTTTGATCTTTTAACTAGGTCTTCTTAGACCAAGATAGAGCAGCACATTTTTAATGAAATACTGAATTGTTAGATTTTTTGGAAACACACACTATAAAACTCTCTCTTAGATAATACAGCTCTCCCAACCATATTACAATACACCTCCCCATGAAAACAGGTCATGGAAAAGAAGGTAACAGAAATAATAGGATCTTAGCATTTCTTAGCTAGTCAGAAGCAATAATCACAACTGAGCATCACTCACATCAGATGGCACCTCTCTGTGTGCATCTTCATAAGCATCTTATTGCAATGCATTCCTTATCACATTAATGCATATACTATGGCAAATTCTTTAAAACATACATCTAAAGAAGGTTCTCATTTCACATACCGGGATCATATGAAGGTGGGGGTGGCGGAGGAAGTTTTCCTCCGTCCTTAAAATTAAGGCCTTTGGCTGCTCGTATTGTTGCTATAAATTCCTCGTGCTTTCGTCTCCAGTTGGATTGCTTTTTGGGGGGTTCTGGCTAAGAAGTCAACAGAAAAACAAAGCTTTTACAGATTTAGGGGTTTTACTCTGCAGTGAATATGCCAAATTTCATATAATATCATATAATGCATAACACACTAATCCTAACTGATCCTAAAGATGTTCGGCCTCTCAAGGTCCCTTTAGATGTTTAGATAAAGGCATAATAGGATCTGATGCATGATCTATACAAACATGCTGCACACACATGGAAGGATGCATGATTGTGGGATCCAGCATCAGATCCTATCACGTCTTATTGCCCATGCAGGGGGAGCCCAGGATTGCGATACTAGTCTCCCTCTGTACTGGCTCCCACTGCTGCTATCCCTGGAAGCTGATGAGGCTCATGGGGGGGTAGGGAGTCAGTATTCCCCACAATGCCTCCATTGAGAGCCCTGCAGCTGACAAGTCTTGCGAGGGGATAGCATTCCCCACATCATACCCCCTGCAAGCCCCATCAGCTGCAGGTCTCACAGGTTGGACAGTACAGGGAATGCTCCCCTCCCTTTCTCCCCTGTGAGCTTGTCAGCTATGGGGCTCACAGAGAGAACAGTGTAAGAACGCTGCTGCCACTGCAACCTTTGTCCACTGCAGGTCTCTCAGTGGGGCAGTGTGGGAAATGCTGTCCCACTCCTCCTATGAACCTCGTCAGCTGGTAACACCGCCCTCCCTGCAAGCCTTGTCTTCTGCAGAGCTTGCAGAGTGGGGGGCAGCACAGGGAATGCTAGTGCCACTGCAAACCTCATTAGCTGCAGAGCTGGCAGCAGGTGGTTCACTCATGTGGCTGGGAGCCCCTTAGTTGGTGGGCCTCCCAGCCACACATTTTTATCATGCCATTAATTGAACAAGTCAAAGTTAGACATTTTTTGTGGAATACCTTTGTGGCTTATTCCTTGTTTTATCATGATACTAATTGATCAAACATGTGAACACGTGGCTGAGTTGCACTTAAGTGTAACTTCTCAGTACTTCCAAAGAAACACACTCTTGACAAAAGAATAGCATCTTATTCAGTCCCTGAACAGAAATGGCATAAAATATGTGTGTTAGAAATACAAAGACAAAATCCTTTTTACAAGCAATGACTGGCATTTCATAAAAATCTGATCTGCGGGACCTCTGTTTTTATCTTTCTAGCATTAAACCAGAGCCAGTATATGATAAGTCTGCACTCAATTGCAAGCTGCATTTAGTAACCTCCATGTCACACTATGTTGGGTGCACACATCATTTTGTCTAAGACAAACCTATTACGGCTGTGCCTAACCTGCTCAGGAAAGAAGACCAGCACCTTGAAGAAACATTGCTGGAGGTGGGCAAGGAGGGGGCCCAGCAATCTAGAATCATCACTTTGATGTTTTCAAAACTGCTGATTCAACACCCTGGAATAATGAATATAATGGATCTTGTACAAAGGCTCTCATCATAGCTTTAAACAAATGGAATTTTTTTTTTAGGTTGGACATTTGACAGGTCCAACAACCCACCTCTCCAAAAAAAACACAAAAAAAACAGGTCAATTAACCAGTCAAAGATTGTCAAATAATGGTCAAATATTTGAAACATGAATTTATTAGAACAGTGAAGAGAGAGACTTTAATCTTCAGCAGCTTAGATATTTATGCTAATTACAAAAACAAGTTAGGTAGCTGTTATTGTGAAACTATGAAATTAAATGCTAAAAAAGTGCAATGAATTTTTATATCCATCAGCAGGTAGGCAAGTGTAAGTGGGAACAATATTCAAGACTGAACAGAGTTCTTCTGTTCCCTTTTATCCCAAAACCTCAGGATCAGACTGAACAGTTCAAAAAATAAAATTAGAAGATAAACACACACACAGCAACCATAAAAAACAAAACTTTTAACATACCTGTATTTAAGTAGGCAGCAGACCAACCTTTTGAGTATTTTGCTATTTGCATTTGGAAATGCCTACAGTCACAGTAGACAGCCAGTAGCAGAAGCTTTTCTGTGCTGCTGGGTTCTGTTTTTCCCCTCAACAGAGAGTAGCTCCTGCAGCCCCATGGGGCTTAATGGAGTTTGGGGGGGGGCGGTGACATTAGGAGGAAAAGGAGTCTGAGGCTCAGGGAAAAGGAGCCAGGTAAGAGGTGCTCCTAGATGGAGTGTGTGCATTTATGGGCGTATTCTCCAACTCCTGCAGGACTGAAGAGCAAGGAGCTTTCCCTCCAGCCCTTAATAAGAGATGCAGTAAAAAGGCAGGCAACCATCTGTAAAAGGACATTCTTGGCTTCCTGGTATATTTGACAAGTTTTGACTGAGGTTATAATTGCACTAGTTCCAACACCTAGAATAGTCAGATTATGAGTCCCATAGCTCAGGTCTCAGTTTTACAGACAGAGAGACAGCAGCATATATTAGGTCTTAGCAGATAGTCACAGAAGACTTGTTTCTGTCTAGGACAAAGACTGAGACAGATTATAACACTGGAAGAGAGTATTAGTCTTGAAAACAACAACACTAATACATCAGATTTAAGAAACAGGCTACATTGGTTACCACCTTTATCTTCTGCTCTTGCAGCATTTTGATTCCAGCGATCATCGCAGCTAATATCTTACTGAAATACTAGGGGTTATTTCTTTATATCTTTGAAAAACTGATGTAAATTAGATGAACCATATTTTTATGCATATGTACAGTTTTTTCTTTAAAAATTATAATAGACAAAGGCTTTACCTACCCGTGGCTTAAGAGGTTTTACTGTAGAAATATCAGTTCCTTCTGCCCTCTGTCTGCTGGAATCAAATGTCTTTCTTCTCTTACTGGAAGTTTTTTGGCAAATAGGTACATGTTTTTTCTGTCAGAAGAGGAAAGAAACACACAGTATGCAACATTTATATTTGGAAATGCAAATGACAGCATTCTTTCATTCTTGCTTTCCAGCTATTTAAAGCAGCTAATAAAAAAGCCAACCAGAAAGAACAGGCTTAGAGGTAAGGACAGTATCACGTTCATGCTTGTCACAAATGTTTCCTTATTGAATCCCCATGCATTTCTTAAATAGCACATAAACAATCAAACAAATTCAAGTAAACAAGGGGGAAAAAGTAGCACAAGGAGTATTTTTATTCACCTACATTATTAAAACTACTTATACAAAGTGCATTTATTGGGCAAATATCATCTACCTAATCAACAGTGCAAGCCAATACTCCATATATGCATTCAAATACAAAAGTGCCCCTATTTTCCACATGCACCTCAGACTTTAATATCTTACTTTTTGCACTGAGGTTCACAGGAACACTATGGGTTAAGAAAAAAAGTTTTGAAGAGGAAAATTAAGTTGTGTATTCCAGGATTATCAGTTTAAGTAGTTTAAAAAAAAAATGTATAGGTTTCAAGTATTTTATAGCCATGATGGTCAAAGACAAAGTAACAAATAAAGGCCTTGAACTTTTAACTTGATAAAAATCAAGTTATAAAAAAACAACAACAAAACCCCAGTTAAGTAGATATGACACTAGAAAGTAGACGAGATTGGGGAAGACTAATAAACCTCGCAATTAATCAGTCTGGGACAGAATGGTATTAAACTTTACAAAACCAGAAGTAAACAACACCTGACTCTTGGGTGCCCAATATGAGATGCCTTTGAAAAGGTCTAATTAAAAATTAAAAGCCTTTTAAGTGTTTCAGGTTGAATACTGAACAACCAAAATACCTGGAAACCCTAGTATCTTTTGAAAAATTAAGCCTAGATGCTTAGCTCCAGTATCTCTGAGGTATCATATTATTCTGCTATGCTCAGATTGGTATGTCCAATCTATTAAAAAAGAATCAACAGGGAAGGTGCTACTGCTACTCACCAGTGCTAATTGAAAGAATGTCCTTCCACAAATCTTACATGGTAATAGGTCTCCACTTTGCACTGTAGGTTCATTTTCTAATAAAAGCAAAACAAGACACACATTTATTATATATGTATAGATACAGAATTTTTTGGCCTATAACCAATCTATAAATATAATGGAGCTTAAGTCAGAAAATTAATTCCCATCTATGCTAATCCACTTCTAGTTTCCTTCTGTTTCATAAAATAGGGCTTTCATGTCTGCATTTAACATACCAATTTATCTGTTGTATCAGTTGGGGCCAGACTTCCATAGCAACACAAGTGGACTCCGATAGCCATGTTTCATATAATTTAGAAAAATCCTGAATGAAGGAAAGAATAATCAATGCTATTACAGCAGATGCTTATTTATGGCAACACCTTATAAGTAGAAACCTACTCAATTCACAATTTTGTAAACTGCAAAATCTGGCATTGTCCACAAAATAAAAAACAAAAAATTCACTAAAAATAAACTGCTAGCTCCCCAGAGGGGGGAGGGGGAGCCACTGGCGCAAAGGGAAGCAACCAAGACAGCATCTGCCTTTCCCCTCCCCATCCCTTGTCACTGATTGGCTGAGAGGGCTGCCCATAGCATGGCCCTACCCCTCTCTGCCAATCAGCAGTAAGGGGCAGGACTGCACCACAGACAGCCCTCTTGATCAACCAGTGGTGAGAGGTGGGGCCCATCAGTAGTGAAGGGTGGGGCCCTGACCCCTTGGCCAGAGGAGTGGGGGAACCCCACAGCAATAAGCACATGAAAACAGCAGTCAGCGCCGCAATCAGCCTACAAATGGCTGCCTGGCTCCTCGACTTTGATAGATCCTTACTCATAAGAGCAACAACTACTTGCCAGCAACATTTCTCCTAGGAACATTTTCCTACTACGTATTTTTTACCTGGTAACAGCAAAATATCTACTGCTTAAGAGCAACCTTTATGAAGGGTGGATGTGACGTAAATCACAATGTCCAAAAGTAGGTGTGGGTTATGTATTTTTTTTTTTGTAGGGAGGTCAAAACCAGACCAAATGCCAAGTTTCCCACTTAAAGAAAAAGTCAAGACTATGAGAGTCTATCAAGCTCCCAGGGTTAATCAAAACCAAGTTGCAGTCAAAGAAGTTGCACTGATTAAGCTGGATACAACATCTGGAAGCAGAGGGAGAAACGGACAATAAAAACAGACTGGGGAAGAGCTGTTGAAGTAATGCCAACTCTCAGAAAAAAAAAAAAAAATCATGAGACTCCTGATTTCCAATTCAAATCAACTCTGACTCATGATCTCCTGATATAGAAAACAAATCTCGGGATTTTCTTCTTCTGGCACATGTAGAGAGCACCAAGCTGGTAGGTCTGTGGAGGGGAAGGGGTGGTGGTGGTGATGGCAGATTGAGGCCCCCCAAGGTGAAGGAGGGAGTGGGGCAGGAGCTGGGGTGAATGGGGCCTGGGGCCAAGGCGAATCATGCAACAGAGCCGTGTGTGCGCGCGTGCGTGCGTGTGCGCATGCGTGCACACACCTCATTCCCAAGCCACAGCCCTCCCCAGCCCAGCTGCTGCCCCTCACTCCTGACCCACAGCCCCCTACATCTTGCCAGGGTGTGTGGGGACCCTCCCCCCCAGGCTCCAAACCCCACACACACACACCCCCACAGCACCCCACACCTTCACAAATAACATCCCCCCACCACACACAAACACTTCAAAAATAGCATCTCATGATACACATTCCAAATCTCTTGATTTTTTAAGAGTCTGTCTCATGATTTTTGACACAGTGGGGTTGGCCACACTACTATTGTAAACATACGTATGAAAGAAAAGCACCGTGCTGATGTGGCTCTTTCTTTGATTCAAAGAGAAAAGGGAACATGGTCCAGAAAGCACAGCTCCTGCAATCAAATAAAAGGCTACTGAGCTTGCTGCTTCAGTTAGACTTTAAGAAAAGGGATGGCTGGTTCACAAGGCATAAGGAATGTTTTAATGGGAGAGGGAGAGAGAGAGAGAAAGGGAAAGGGTGAAGAAAGAGAACGGAGAGAGACAGTCAGCAGATAAACCAGGAGCTGAGCAATGGCAGAGTGGAAGACTCTCCTGCATTTTTTAAAAGTCTTCCCCACCTGACATCTACTATGCCAACACTGCAGGTCTGCATCTGAAAGGACTCTGTAAGAAAGAGGACATGTGGGAAGAAAAATAAGAAACCTTAAAAAATGGGGAAGGATCCTCTATCCCTGTCAAAGAGGGCAATGGTGCTCATCTGTGCCAACAGAAGGGACTGACAAAAACCCTGCTGATTAGGAAAGCAAAACATCTTGATGCCCTCTGAAGGACATCATTAAACCTCTTTGCACATGCCTACATAACAGGTGATGTGGTCATCACCTAACTGAAAAAGTGGAATAGTCAACTTAAAGAATTTTTTTTGCAAATACCTAGGTATTTCCAAACTTAATCAAGAGGGTGATTGTTTTGATGAAAATTCACCTCTATCAAAATCAGAAGCTTTGAAGGCTTGCAATTTAGTTCGGCAATACTCACAGCCAGAAGGGCCCAGTGAAAATTTCCAAAACAAAACTGTAACTGAAAAAGAGTGGAGCAAACTAACAGAGTTCTTTCACCCAAAATGAGCAAATATACCCTTTTAAAATTAATTTACAAGCTGGATACTCAATCTACAGTGGGTATCACAAAGTGCACTCAATGCTGTTCTTCTGATGCAGCATATGTAAACACCTCCAAACATGTTTTTAAGCTCTCAGAACTTAGTAATAAAGTATGCTTATTTTTGCTGTTACGGTATTAACTAATTTACTTGAGTAGAAGTTGAGCCCCTCCCCCTCCCATTTAACATGGAGGAAAAACTCTTGCCTTACAATCAAGCAAGAGGCAGTGGGGATCAAGGGGTTGGGGTCAGAGTCAGAGCTGCCACCTTCCCCCTCCCCCAGCCTCTGCATGACCCACCGCTCCTCCCCTGCAGCCCCCATTTCCCACCCCCACTCTCCACATGGCTTCTTCCCCCTGCCCCTCTCCAGGCTGGAGCAGCAGTGCTAGCTCTGTGTTGCTGCTATGGGGCTAGGCTGGAGCCATGTTCCATGCCCCAGGCTGCAGCAGGATCAAAGCATGCCAGCATGGAGCAAAAGTAAAGAGGGAGGCAGGGAGGAGAGAAACTGAGGGAAGGGGAAGAGAAGGGGGGCAGAAGTGACATGAAGGGGTGAGAAGTTGGGAACAGGGAAAGAGGGAATCAGGGCAGCCTGAGGGTGGGGGGAGTGGGGGGCAGGCAACAGGAGGATAGTTACCTGCTTCTCTCCCTGCCTGCCCCTACTGCCTCCCAGTACCTGCCTTACTACTGCCTCCATCACTGTCTGTCTCCCACCACCTGCTCCCTTACTACCTCCCTCACCACCTGCAGTAGTGGGGAGGAAATAATTTAAAATGAACCTCCAATAATTAGATTCCATATGTGGAAAACTATAATACATTTATAAATGTATACATTTCCCATGTGTGGAATCTAATTATGGGGGGGTGGTGTCATCTGACATTCAGGGTCATCTTGTGTCTGGGTAAATACAGTAATATCCTATATATTACTAGTGAATTGCCCATCAAGAATGATGGGGGGGGGGGGCAGCGATGGAGAAGACAGGAGGATCTCCCCAGGCCCAAGACTTAGCTGCTCAGGACAGGTGGCAGAAGGCTGTAAGCAGCTACACCAGGGTCCACAGAGCCTAGCTGTAGGTACTAGTTCCACCTCCCCTCCACCTCTCCTCACTCCTCTTTTTCTCCCACCTGCCCTGCTGCCTTCTGGTTCCTGCTGGGGCACTGAACAGTTTTCTCTTCCCCTCCCTGCTACACCCCCCCCCCCCCCCCCCCCCCCCCCCCCCCCCCCCCCCCCCCGGTGCTAAACAATAACTGGTAAACTATAATCAGTTATCACTGGACTTATTGGTTAAATAATTAATTGATTGGAGATTGTTTAACCATTCACATCCCTAATTTGTTTGTAGACAGATGTTTCACCAGTTTGGGACACAGGGTGGATCTGATTTAAATCAAATCGATGTAAATCACTTGTCAGGAAGCCTCAGTTTAATCACTGTATTCTAGGAGAAGCACATTGATGTTGTTTGATATCCTCTATTCATTTAACTTCTTGAAACTTAGCACTTTTAGAGAAAGGCAAGGGCTTAACTCTGTGTACACAAACTTGCAAAGACAACAGGGCTGATGAGTGGGTAATTAGGTCCGTTATCTCTCACCTCCATATATTGCTGTTAACAAGGACATTAACCTCTGGAGACAACAAAATCTCCTTATGCCTAAAGACAGGTGTTTCTGCCTGAGAGCTTGTGAAGAACAATTTTTCCAACATTTAGCTGGTCTAGTAAAAGATACCAAATTTACCCAAAGAACCTTATCTGTCTATGATCTCTGGAGACACAAATCCAGAGTTTGAGAACTGAAGCTAAGCACCACAGAGATGCTTAATGGGATCTTCTAGACTGAGCACTGAGCCCCACTGGGTAGAAGGGTTTTCTTTAATCTTTACTAATCTATAGAAGAGCCTCTGGGAATCCCATAAGATTGGGCCTCTAATATAGTTTATAGCTTGTTGTGACCTGTTTAAAACTTCTGAAAAGGTTACATGAATATATTGTCTCAAACAGTAGAAGTTATAATCCTTATTCCATGTTATCTTTGAGCTTTAACATACCTTAAATTAAAACTATCTGTATATGTTTATTTTTTTTAAAAAGCATCTGAAAAAAATGCGATTAAATAAAAAAAAAAAATCTGATTTTTAAATTTTTTTTAAAATATATTTTTATGCACCCTGGGGACACATCACACTTCAGGAAACAATCATTGCTATCAAAACTATTTTGTAGGTTACAAGTATCCATCTAAGTTCATATCTTTAGTTCAGCTCACTGGTTTATGCCACCTTTTGAGAAGGAACAATATTCATAGAATTATAAAAAATTAGGGCTGAAAGTGGCCTTTAAGAAGTCATCTAGTCCAACCCCCTGCTCAAAGCAGGACCATTACAACTAGATCATCCCAGCCAAGGCTCTGTCTAGCTGGCTTTTAAAAACCTCCAAGGATGGACATGCCACAACCTCTCTAGGTAGCCTGTTCCTGTGCTTTACTACCTGCCTAAATAATGAGAAAGTTTTTCCTAACATCTAACCTAAGTTTTCCTTGCTGCAACTTGAGACCATTGCTCCTTGTTTTGTCATCTGCCACCACTGAGAACAGTCTAGCTCAGGGGTAGACAACGTTTTTTGGCCGGAGTGCCAAAAACCCCCACAATGCCTACCTTGGAAGGTGCCAGAGTGCTGGCATGCCAGAAAAACAAAATGAGGGCAGGGGGTACATGGCAGGATGCCCTGCTTGTGCCCCTTGCCCCCCAGC